AGTCAGAAAGTATTGTTGAAGTTAACGTTTGTTATAGAGCGACTGTTGAAAATAAGTGTATCGATAAAGTTGTATTCGGAAAGAATAAACCAGTTTTATTTAAGAAAGGACTTGTGTCGCTAAAGTTTCGTCGGAACGAAGTTACGGAAAATTAATTAACAAACGGTGACGTAACAATACTTATTGCAGTGCTGTTGAAGACACTTGAGTAAAGTGGCTTTTCTGATATGAAATTACAATGCACAAAAGGGATTCAAATACATTAAAACTCAATTGTTTATAACATTGTTCCATGACAATTAACACACCATTTCTAGAAATAAACTGCCTAAACCCTTCATTTCCTCAAAAAAACACGTTTTCAACTGATTGTAACTTTTACTTTTCATCACTAAAATGTATAATTACAGTGATGAAAAGAAAGAATAATGAATAGTGAAGTAATTTAGGTCATTGGTGATTAGTAAAAGACTATATCACACAATGCAAACGTTGTCAACTAATTCATTAGTTATCTAAATAAACCGAGTTCATTAACCCATCTTTCTTGTAAGTAAACTGTGTCAGTTAACCAATTCGTCCTCCTAATAAACAGTGTCAACTAATCCAGCATTTCTCCAAATAAGCAGTATCAATTAACTTATCAGTCCTCCAAAATAAGGCATGTTACTTAACTCATTAATTCTTAAATAAACGTTGTCCATTAACATACCAGGCCTTTCAGTAAACAGTATTAATTAAAATTTTTAAATAGTTCATTACTTGTCCAAATATAGCATATCCGTTAACACATTGGTCGTTCTAATAAACCATATGTATTAACGTAAGATTCCTTTGAATCAATAGCGTCAATTAACTAATCATCTTTCCATATAAAGCGTATTCATTGGTCCATCATTCTATCAAAGAAAGCGTGTCAGCTAACACATTTCCTGTAAATAATATAAAATTTTTATTACTTTACAGTTCTTAATGCGACACATTTTAATATCTTTAAAATAAATTAAAAACATATAGTTCCCTAGACCAGGTCTTTTACATAGAAAAACAATTTTTAAGCGGTATAAGTTTTAATCCTTCATGAGAAACAAATTAAGTCTACGGATTTACAACCCAGAAATCGGTGTTCGATTCCTCGATGTGAAAGAATGCAAAACCCCATTGTATAGGTTTACACTAAGAAAATAACAATGACTACCTACAGGTTCGTGGAAACTCTTCACAATGCTTCGCACGCATACGTTGTTTGGAAAAGGTTAAATACTTACATGATAGTTTGTTAGCTTTTCACGAGGGGGCGCTAGAACTAAGGTATTTATAAGTTATCTAAAAGTTTTAATCTAAAGTTGGAAACGTCGTTTATATAAATTCACACCTCAGCTTTGATACTACTTTTATGACAGAAGTACACTCTTATTAGTATTGTAGAAAATATAATACAAAACAAATAAAATATAATGAATTTCACACAGTTTTGTATTGTACTGTCATACTATTTTATATACTACGAACCGAACTTGTTTGTTTGAAGTTAAGCACAAAGCTACACAATGGGGTATCTGTGCTCTGCCCACCACGGGTATCGAAACCCGGTTTCTAGCTTTGTAAGTCCACAGATATACCGCTGTGCCACTGGGGTGCTGAATAGAACTAAGAGTAAAGTTAACGTAAGATAGCGCTCAGCAGTTACTACGTGGAGAAAAAAAAGCGGACAAGCAAGCGAAGCACGCTGATAAAAGCGCTACTGTCATCAAATATGTCATTGAAAACATAACGAGTGATTGCATTTTGAGGGCCCCCAGTAGCACAGCGGTATGTCTGCGGACTTACAACGCTAGAAACCGGGTTTCGATACCCGTGGTGGGCAGAACACAGATAGCCCTTTGTGTAGCTTTGTGCTTAACTACAAACAAACAAACAAAAGCATTTTGAGGAGCTGCTAATTTGAGGCGTTTAATGTGAGCAGTACAAAACGCAAGTTGAAATAGAGTATACTGTTTATTTATGAATCTGTTAAACTGGTAAGTTAATTGTTTAGTAAGAGAGTTTGTTAGTCAATTTGTAAGTGACAATTTAGAGTTATTTGTGAAGTTAGGTTTATTTCTTGGTGGACGTCAGTTACGTAAAACCTCGTTCAAAACATGTTATTTGTAAAACTCTTAGTTGTAGTAAAAATAAATAAATATTTGTTGTCTTTAATAAATTGAACTTTCTATCATTCGGTTTACCGAATAATCCCCCCCCCCCCACACACAACAAAAAAGGACAAAGAATAAAATGTATTACAACGATATAAAATAATCCAAGACCATTCTGTTACAACTTCATTCACTGGTTTCGTTAAATATTATCACTCTTCAGGTGTTTAAGACAACTTAAAATCCTGCGTCAGTCAACTGATCTCACGCACAGATGTTTATGTAACTGGTTTCCTGACAGCGTCATTCTTCAGGTGTTATACAACTGTAAATCTGGTATTTCAGCATTTGTCAACCTATTTCTTGAACAGATGTTCCCGAAAAACTGGTTTACTTCTAATAAAGTTGATTTTAAGCTTAGACTTTTGGATTAATTTGAGTATGAATATTGTTATAGGCCATATTTTTAATATTTTAATTTAGATGTTTTGTTTGTTGTGTCTGGAAATTTCTTGAGTTTTAAAACTAACGTGAAATCATAAGGATATGACATCTGGAATTCTATAAAACTTTGGGGGGGGGGCGGGAGATAGTATAACAAAATCTACACATCAAAAGATTGTTAGTTAGATGTTTATTTTGTTAATAAATGGATCAGTTAGTCATTGAGTGAGTTAAAAATAATTTTTCAGTCAGCGATTTAGTCAATTGATTAGTAAGAGAATTTGTTATCGAGTGTGTTAGTTACCCAAGCGACGAGCTTGAGAAGCTATCGAAGTCGGTCGTACCAACCCTACCGTGTTCATTGTATTGATAGTTAAGCCTGAAAGTGCGAGTCTTTACAAAGGCCTTACAGTCTTTGAAGGCCAGTTACTTCAAGCATATTGATACATTTCACATTGGATACATGAATGGAAACTTGATGTATACTAAGATTTCAGTTTTATGTTTCAATCATAGAGGCTACGAGAATTTTGAAATGAACTGCTAT